CTCCAGGTAGCCTTTTCGCGGACGCGAAATTTCTGTGTCATTCAGTTTTTATGCATGGGTTTTCATGATGGTCTCCCAGTTAGCAGTGTCGTAGAACTATTTCTATTTCTGACATTTGATGTATACATCGATTACTTCTGACAGTACATTGATGACAACCTACACCATTCCCTCACCTGCTTGCAGCCACTATTGTTTTAGGAAGAAATTTCTGGAATTCTGGAAGAATTGGCGGGAAGTACGGAGGACTCGGAGGAAACGATAGCTAGGACAAAGAACGGTCTCAATGACATTGCCATCCCACCCATCCCTATGCAGACTCCTGGCTAGGAAACATGCGCGCCAAGCTCGAGTTGGCTAGGTAGCGAGGGTATGTGACAGGAGAATCGTGACTTCGCCGCGCCAGAGGGCTTCGCGTGCGACGTCGCGCCCGCGAAGGACGACGGCTCTGGGTCGTATTGGTCTCGAATAGACAATATGTGACCAAAAACAACTATAAATTTCTACGATATCCTACTCCACATGAAATCCGACGCCTCAATCAGACGTCTCAGGGCACTTGTCAACCGCGGAGCCTTTCTTCTCTTTCCTTTTTTCTTCCTCCATCTTCTTTTCCTTCCTTCCTTCTCTGTTCCCTCGCTCATGACCTCCCTTCAACTACTGAGCTACTAGAAGCGATGAGAAAATATCTCCCAACGAGAGCATGTCCAGTCCTGTAACCCTAAGGGTAATGCGAATAAAGAAAACGTCGCGCCCATCGCCGAGTGCGACGAGGCGGCAGATTACGATTCTCTTATCCGTCCCACAGGGAATGATGCCACTCAGACTTGGCCCACTTGTCCTCTTTTCTGAACGCTTCTTATGCCATTCAAAGCGTTGTTTGCAAAGAACCTTGTCTGACCAATCTTCACCGTTGTTCGCTTATTCTATCTCTTCTATCGGATACTATCAGCAGCCGATCTCAAAGCGTCATAGACGAAAAACATTGCTAAACACAGCTCAAACTTCAAACCTTCATTCAAAAGCATTGTAAGAGAAACGAGCAAATTTCAGTTGTTGAGCCGTGAATATGAAGGTGTTGGGTTCAATCGCTCGATTACACAACTCTACGATCTACCGAATGAATGGAATACGACCAGAATTTCTCTACTAAATTAAGCAGCACATACGCGTTAGTTCTCAATTTAAAGTGTAAAGTAAATATTCATATTAATAGAAATTAAAAACGAACCAGAAACAAGAAACATAGGAGACAACGAAACTCGTAACTGCGAAACTCAAATCAAGCATGTAAACCGAACATGAATATGATGTAATGATTGCATGAAGACAATTTTCGGGGTATATCTAACGGACGATATATCACAAAGCGCAGAACGAGAAAAACCTGGGTGTGTGACGAGTTTATATGAAACGAAGATGATAGAATTGATACCGTAGAGAGATACGTTAACTGTCGGAAGAAAAAAAAACGAAGAAGAAGAAACAGAACACCAGGGCGAGCACAAATTATAAGCGTAGACTTCGACTGTTGGACGACGGGTACACACACACACACAAACTGACACTGTGACGGTAGTATCGCATGAATTTCGGAAACATGAGATTAATTACATGTAATTGCTCGGGAGACCTTAGGCACGACATAGTGGAACAATCAAACATGAATCGAAATGAACATACGAACACCGCAATCAAACCCCATTCCTGTTGTAAGCGCCACGACCTAAAATTCACTACGTTAGCACATTTACTTGCTTTCGCCATGCCATCTTTCCATAATTTTCTGCATTGTGTTGATTGTATGGTGCTTGTTCAACTCTGCATAAGGTTGATAATTTAGCTCTATACGGCGGGATCACCCACTTTAGAGCCTGTAAGTAACGAACCCACCTAAGCGTCTCCACTACCTTGCTGAAACTGGAGATCAACTAATCACGAAATCGCATGAAGGACCCCTAACCGCAGTCGCATGAAGGACCCCTAACCGCAGCACAGTCCGATCGTCGAGACTTTCAAGCCAGCAGTGGGACCGCTTCGAAGTGTTCCTCATTTAGGATCAGAGGCCACCCTTACAACCCTAGCTCTCGGGTTATTGTGAGGCACTCTTCTCTCCCGCTCATTTTCGGAAATCTGAGGCTGCGTTCATACTTTGCAACAGCGTCCACCGTAGAAATAAGCGTTTCGAGCGTCCGTCAGCGACTAGGAAAGTACAGATATCGATCTAGCGAACAGCAGCGTCTACCAGCGTCGACTAGCGACCATGAGTACGACATTGTGTAGCAGTACGGTGCGGTTGCACACCCCACAAGCTAACCCCTCCCACCTACTTCCCCGTACTCTACCAGCAGTGTGCTACTCTCTCTTCCCATACTCTCTGCTGCTGGTCGCTGGTAGACGCTAGATCGACATCCACGTTTTCCGAGTCCCTCGAGACGCTGGCGGTTGCTGGAGAACGCTAGGTGAACACTGGCAGATATTTCTGTTCGCTAGATCGATATCTATACTTTCTTGGCCTCTAACGCTGGCGGCCCTCTAGCCCTGCTGGCCCTGAAGCAGTAGAAAAGAAGACCTCTTCTTGCGTTCTAGGCGCTATTTCACCCCCACACAGATCGGTTATGATGTTTACCCGGCGTACAAATCCCCGCAAACCTTGAAAGAAAGCCTCACGATAACGCTAGAGATAAGACGTTACATGATAGCGGTCCCGAAAAAGTGACTCTGAACGAGAAAAGTCCGAAACGGTTGAACTGCGCCCTGATGGTCTCGAAGATCGGACTGCTGGTAGTGAGACTTGAAGAAACGTATGAAGGACTAGTTGCTTCATACGATTATGTGATGACCTGCATTAATTTGGGATTTCGAGTAGGGCAGTGGAGAGGTTTAGTCGGGTTGTAAAGTGCTCAGATTCCTTTCAAGGCTCAGAAGAAGGCGACCCCGCCGAGAAGCGGGCCAATGAAGCTGAATTATCAGCCTCAGGAGTTGAGGCTCCTTACAAGGCTGATAGCACCTTACAATTGTCACCTGCTTTTATTCTTCAGAACACAACTTTCACTAACCACGTCTTCGCCCAGCATTATTTCCTCGTTCACCAGCACTTCCTCCACGTTGTCGGCCCTGACGACGCTGTTCTTGCTCGTCCCCATGTTCTTCTCTATGTTTCGCTTCTTCTGCTCCTGACCAATCTTCGTCACTGTATCGATTGCTATCACCTCTGAAGAACAAACCGGATTCCGGGATTCACAAGACAAGCAAACGATTACCAAGGGAAATACTGAAGCTCTTGAACATTGTTTACCTCCAAGGTCTTGCTCCCGTACTCGAACCTCCATTGGTTGACCCTCCATTCTGCGCACCAACATTGCGATAATTACCACCTCGACCACGTCCACGGCGTCCACCACGTCGGTCAAATCCACCACGGTCACCATATCCGTTACGTTGGTAACCGTCTACACGAATGTTTTTTATAGAATAATTTGAAAAGGGGTAAAAACAGACGCATCACCTACCTGAATTCCTCTGGAATCTTTCACTATTGCTATACGCTTGCCGCATCATGTCTTCTATATTGTTTCGCAATCCCTCGGTTTCTTTCAGATGGTTAATTTGGAAGTCCACCAGGAAAGCAGCCATTGATGTCGATTCCCTAGAAAAACTCGTACCCTGACACGATTTCTGGGAGGAGGATCTTCCCCATAAGCAAAGAGAGCGATCCACAACAGCAGAAACGTGCCATTTCGGCTACTCGAAGATGCTTAGCAAGGAATTTATAAGTTTGTGACAGCTGGATGGCTCTGATGTGTCCGACCAGGGTGCGTAGCAAGACAATCGCGCGTGGAGGACATCACGCTCGACAGCGCGACGGGGCTCAGCGCGCTGCGCGGCAACCTGGTTGAGCGCCGGGGGAGTGGTGAGTCTCAGGCCACAAATTCGCTTCAAATGGTGTAGGAACCAAATTCAGAGCGAACTGCACTTGTCAATAAAACACGGACTTCGACCATCAGCCCTTCTACAGAATCAACGTCTTGCAAGCCCCCTCCCTCCATCTTCATTCGACACGTCTAAGAGTCACGTAGTACGCGCTGCTCGTCTACGTCCTCTCACTTATATAAGAATCGATAGGTTTGATTAGGATGTGATAGGTCTTCTTTAAGATGGTTTGATACCTAGAATCTGAAACGTAGAAAAAGACATTGCCGGAATTATTATAACCTAGTGGTCGCAATCTTAGCTGAAGGACCGGTCGCGCAAAGCGTAGCGTACTTGCCAAATGACGTATCCTACGGAGGAGGCAGCAGGAACATCAGGCTATCACAAATCTTCAGTTTCATTGCACGATAAGGATGTACCTCTCATAAAAATTGCTCAGTAGGCAGTAATTTCGGCGCTGCCGGCTCTTCCGGGGTGGGGGGGGGGGCATTTTGCAGTGTTACCAGTTTCTCTAGAATTACACGTCCTCTTCGGTGGAATCTGTAGACCCTTGCCAAGTGCAAACGAAGTTCATGCTGCTGCATACTTTCAAAGGAACCTGTCTCCACAGAAGGCTTTGGCAGCAATCGATGGGAGCCAGCAAAATGCCCTCCCCCCAAGCCGAAAGGCGGCGTGATTTGATTATTATGATTTCGTACGAGGCTTACCTAGTACCGGTGAACGAAAACGGGACAGGATCCATATTGTCATCATCTTCACCGGCAATTTGAACACGTATCACACCCGATTTATCAACGATTTCCTGAGAATCAGCTCCGTATATTATCAGAACTTGGAATACACAAGAAAATACAGAGTCCAAGAGCAAAATCTTCAAAGAACAGAAGAATTTCAAAAAGGCAGCGGACACCCAACTAACCTGGATACACTTTCCATTCTTACCGATCAATTTGCCTACCAAAAACCGGGGCACGTGTACACACTCGACTCCAAAGTCAAGTTGCGCACGAGCTTTTTGTGCTGCTGCGGCTGTCTTCGCAAATATCTAGAAAAATAGTATAAGCGTAGTCGAAGCCCAGGGGCTCACTGCCTAAGAGGGAAAACATAATGGTCTAGGTGCTTATCATTCTTTCGACCGCGTTCATACTTGCCAAATGTAAGGAGTCTACGAAAATGTACGAAAAGGAGGGTACATGGTCCGTTCGCTGGGGATGAAAGTTATGTCAGACGAGAGGGGTTTGGCGCAGCGCCAAACCCTCTTTACAACAGCTTTCGAAGTGAGCAAGCGACAAAATTGCATGACATCGTTGGAATCAGTCGTTTTCTCCCCAACTATTGCCGCTTTCCCACCTCAACATAGTGGAGGCGCTGGCCAAACTGATCCCGCCAGACAACACACCTCAGTCGGTAGCGACAACACTGGAGGTATTTAGCCGAAGCATATCAGAAATTGGCTACGAAAGACTGCCGACTGACTGCGTAACTCACGGTTTTGATCGAATGACTCCACCCCTTCACGATTTTTTTTTGGAGAAGGCCAGATCCTGAGAATTCCATGGTACACATGTGAGCGGAGTTACCCAAATACCATTTGATCCTTAACCGCCCATCATCCAAACGAGAGTTACACCATCCTCTTCTCGAATTCGCCCTTATCTTAGCGCTTTTCCTTCAGTAAGTTGACTCAGCAGTAAAAATGTTACAGAAAACAAAACAAAAGCAAAAAAAAACTTGATTATTGACGAGCCTCAGAATATAGTGCACGACAACAGAGATACGGCACAGCCCCCAGCCAGCATTCCTACTCTTCAGCACTTTAGAGTCAAATCAGATGTGCCATGGCAGCTTACATTGAAACATGTCGCCAAATAAATGGTATAGGACGTAGACTGCCATGACACAATTCACTTGACGCCAAAGTGTTATGTTGGGTTAACTAACAAGGACTACTGGAGTTTGCTATCGATACCGCATACAGTACTTTCTAAACTACACTTCTGAGCCTCAGAAACATATAAAAAGACCACTACACTCTACGCTGATTAGCTCACCTTAATGATGCATGGCTGTCCATCACCACCTCCTTCGAACACCTGAATATCGTCTACATCTTCCACATTGCGAGCTCTTTGTATATTCGAACCATGGGTTCCTATTGCCAATCCCATCAAATCAGCTGCGACTCTGAACGCGCAAGGTTATTGGAAAAATTCCAGCGCATTCTGAGGTTAGTGAGACCTACTCGAACTCGTCGACAAATGGTGAGTCCTTTTCGTTGCGCTGAGAGCCATGTTGGAGTAGGCGTTCTGCTTCTTCAGCTCGAGCACGTAGCTGATTTTTAAGGCGGACATCCTATATTCCAAATTACATATATGAATCTGACAGAAACTCGAGAGCAAAGTCCAAGTGACATACTCGGAAGAACATTTCGCTAA